GTCGAGTCGAATTTCGAACTATCTTCGAGTTAGTTTGGTTCATTGTCAGCCCTAATAAAAGGGAATTTTGAAATCTAATAAATGCAAATTGCTTAAATAGTACCTGAAATCAATTAAGATTGTATTGATTTGATATCAATTAAGATTGTTATATTTTTATTAATTTTGAAATAATAAACTAACAATCGCACGACTTGAAGAGAGCGGTTCTATACTACATATGTAACATTTTTGGATGGAGATAATTGTTTTCAAGTTCTCTAGTATTTGCAAATGAATAATTAATAAATAATTATAAATTGACCTTTGAATTGGAGAATTAATCAATAATTTCCTTCTTTCAACTTTTGACCAATCATGATTTATTTTAACTTTGGACCGATCATAATTTGTGTCGAGGAATGTATGATAATTGATTTTGATTTAATTGTGTATTTAATCGAATTCAATTATCGTAATCCTTGTTGTTGTAATTATTGCTTCATGATATTCTTGTTTTACAATGCGTAATGTCGTAACATTAACATTTTGTATGCTATTTTCGATTACAAAATTGAATATTGAGCTTATATGCTTATGAATTTAAGGAATTCAATGTCATATTAGCGAGATTCATTCATATAATAATAATAATAATAATAATAATAATAATAATAATAATAATAATAATAATAATAATAATAATAATAATAATAATAATAATAATAATAATAATAATAATAATAATATGTAATGTGAAAACATTGACTCGGTGTATAAACTATTCTTGAAGTTTATTTAGGATTGATGTATTTAAATTACAATAATTTAAATTTATCCTCTCACTTGGATTCAACTGTTAAACCATTATTTTTATATAACGTTTATTTCAATTATTATTATTATTATTATTTTGAATCAAAGGAAGATTAAATTAATTCAAAAAATAGTACAAGTACAAGGCGATCGCGAGGATCCTTCCCTCAGAACAGACACAAAGACCAAAGGAAAAGTACCAAGAACACTAATAAGTCATCAAATGAGCAATGTGTGGCCTAAGTTTCTAGTTATGTCACCCCTTATAAACAATTATATCTATAATATTATCATCTATTTTTGTCTTATCTATAACATTACCGTAACAAATGTCATTACGGTATTTCCACACACCATAAACAGTTTCCGTTACAGCTAGTTTCAGGATGGATGCTCGCCATCCCTTACCTTTCGTACCCCTGCACAACCATTCCATTTCTTCACCCCATGGTCGTGGGACATGCGGAATATGGATTCAATCTAGGATTTTGGTCCAGATACACACTGTTTCAGGACAACAGAATAACAAATGATTAATAGATTCCTCCTCTTTAGAACAAAGACAACATATATCATCAGTAATCATACCAAATCGAAAAAGGCGTTGTTTTGTAGCCAGTCTTCTGTGACCCGCAAACCACATAGTAATCAGAGCCCTTAGTCGAGCAGCATTATGTCGGAGTATGTTCTTCCATATTAATTTTGGAGCACTACTACAGATTACCATATAAACATCATTCATCTTAAACTTGTTTCTAGTTGACATGCGATCCCATACCTGTTGAGTATCCACCAAGTTATCCCCCTATTTTAGGATGGTCCTCATAATCCATGAGGTGTGGGGTTTGATACTGACATTCATCATCTCCTCATGCTTTAAATAATAACTATGGACCCATTTACCTACAGGCTATCAGTTTTACTACTAAGGTTCCAGAGCAGTTTAACCATAATAATTTTATTCCAGATCTTAAGATCAGTGATACCCAGGCCTCCATAATTCAGAGGTCTACAAACATTGTCCCAAGCAATAGGGCTCTTCCTACTAATATCAGCTCCACCTGTCCACATGAACGATCTACACATAGCTTCAATTTTATGAATAACAGATCTAGGGATAGGAAAGCATTGCATCCAATAGTTCGCAATGGCAAAAGTAACACTTTTTATAAGTTAGACACGCCCTGCATAACTTAGGAGTTTAGCAATCCAATGATTAATTCTAATCATAATCTTACCAATCAACGACATATAATGATGGATCGATAATTTTTTGGAGGTTAGAGGGACCCCCAAATACCTGAAGGGGAAAGGACCCTCCCGAAAATTAGTAATGTTAATGATGTTCTGCTTTGTATCCGCGTCCACCCCACCAAAATAAATTTTGTATTTTGTCGGGTTTAATTTGAGGCCAGTGGAATCAGAGAAAACATTAAAAGCCTCCATAATCAGCTCCACCGACATACAATCTCCTCTAGAAAAAAGAAGTAAATCATCTGCAAAAGAGAGATTAGTAATATGTAACTTCTCACATTTAGCGTGATGGTTGAAATTGGGATTCTTCTGCATTTTGCGAAAGCATCTGTTGAGATATTCCATTATAATAGCAAATAATAGGGGGGAGATAGGGTCCCCTTTCCTAATACCCCGCTTTGCCTGGATAGTTTTTGTATGATACCTGTTGATGTTGAATTTATAAGTAACAGAAGTGACAGTAATCATTATCCATCTAACAAATTGGGTTGGAATTCCAATTTCCTTCATAATACACTCTAGAGCATCCCAATTTACCATATCATAAGCTTTTTGAAGATCAATTTGAAGCATACATCGAGGTGTGCCTCCTTTCCTGGTATACCCCATAATCAGTTCATATGCTAATAAGATATGATTATGGATTTGTTGGCCCGACACAAGTGCAGCTTGCAAATGATGGACAACATCACCAATAACTTTACCCAATCTTGTAGTAAGTATTTTTGAGATTATTTTATAGACAGTAGTACACCCTGCTATCGGTCTATAATCTTTCATGGATTGAGTGTCATAGTGTTTCAGAATAAGCGTCACCATAGTACCGTTAAAGGCTTTAAATAAGTGTTCATGGCGAAAAAAATCATGTACTGCATTTACCACATCAGTTTTAATGGTTTCCCAGCTACCTTTGAAAAAACGGCCTCCGTAACCATCAATTCCCGGTGATTTCAAGTCCCCAATGCCTTTAAGTGCCGTGTGAATTTCCTTCTCTGTTATAGGTGTCAATAGGTATTGTCGTTGTTCCATTTTCAGTTGTGGTCCATCTCTCATGGCGGCGACATCAATATGACGAACTGTGCTATCAGCAGTGCCTAACAAATTCTTATAATAATTCAAGACTTCATCTTCAATATCAGCCTGCATTGTCAGTGTTATGCCATCTTCTTTAATGAGTTGTGATATATTCTTTGAATTGTTTTTGGCCTTTAGGGATGCGTGGAAATAAGAGTTGTTGCCATCACCCCACTTAAGCCAATCACATTTTGATTTATGTCTCATTATATTTTCCTCTAGTTCATGCAGTTTTATAATCTCTACTTTCTGCTCCTTAATTCGAGTTAATATCGTAGCATTCATCGGGTCGGCCTCAAGGGAGGTTTGCGCTGTGTTTAATCTATTTCTTGCTTGAATAAGCTGCTGGTCATTATGTCGGGCTGGTTTACTGAAATTACGCAGAGCCGGTTGTAAGCGCATAAGCTTATTCCACAAGATAAACATTGGATTTCCGTCGATTGGGACGTTCCACTTATTCTCTACCAGTGCACCATATCCTTCAAAATCCATAATACAATTGTAAAATCTGAAGATTGGTTTTCTATACCATTTGTGTACATGATCATTACCTGTCAAGAATAATAGGGAGTGATCTGACACACTTGGAGGTAATATATGGAGAGTAGTATCAGTATTCTGTTGGAGCCATTAAACATTAGCAAGCGCATGATCAATGCGAGAATAGATTGTACCTGCAATGTGATTATTTGACCATGTATAATAGTTACCTTTACTTTCCTTCTCAAATAAGCCAACATTTTCCATCATATTGCAGATGTCAATATATTCAATTTCTGTCACATCATTTCCACCTATTTTGTCATTGCAATGGATAACATTGTTGAAGTCACCCATCAAAACCCAAGGGCCTTGCTGCTGCGCGTGAATGACAATAATATCATTCCATAATACACGACATTACTCTAGTCTATTCAAGGCGTAAACAACAGTTAACCAAAATATGAAATTCCTAGCCATGTCATGAATACCACAGTGGATGAATTGACTGGAAGACTTAACAATTTTAATATCAACTTCATTTGAATCCCAATACAACCATGCCCTGTCATTAGCGTGACGTTGGTAGTTGTCTGCAAAGCTGCCCCGCAACATGAGTTTATTTCAGACAGAAGGTACATTTTTCACTTTGACACGAGTTTCTAGTAACGCAATAATTTTTGAACGAAGTTCTAGGAGACGGGAGCGAATATCCCTAAGCTTGCCCGCGTTATTGAGCCCCTGCACATTCCACACTGCTAGCATGGATCATCATCGACCAACATTATTGAGACATTCATATCCCCCAGAAGACCAAAGCCATTGGTACAATGTAATAGTACTTTATCCTTTGCGGTGCCCTTGTGTTTATCCCTTCCACTTTTGGTACTTGTAGTCCAGTCCGCAAGATTATCATTCCTCCGTATGTTTAAATTTGTGCCTTCAACTGTTAGTGTACTACTAGATTCAGCAGCAGTCATAGTTGGTGTCAGCAGTACTGCATCATCAGTTCTTACAAGTTCAGCCTGCTATTTTTGTTTTGGCTGCCATACTTTGACAGGTTTTGGAGCCTCACATATGTGACCAAACCATTGACATTGCTCACAAAATTTTGGTTTTCACTTGTATTCAATAGGTTGAATCAATTTACCACCATTTCAGTCATTAATAATGATTTCCTTCGCCAATGCTTGGGTAACATCCACTTCGATTAACAGTCTTACATACGAGATCCGAAACTTATGTGCAGTACATTCGTCGGTTGTGACAGGGTTCCCAATTGCGCTACCAATCTTGCTGAGGCTCTTTTCCCCCCAAAGGTGGAGCGGTAGATTAGAGAGTTTAATCCATATTGGTAATGTACGCAATATATCATTCTTCAGATTAAATCTGGGATGTCATTCTCTTAATAACATTGGCATATTTCGAATTGTGTAGGGTCCTTTCAGCATCACTGTATCCATATCTGTATGCGAATGAAATTTGAGGATGAAGTATCCTTCCTCGTGGTAGTGTATATCAGGAAGTTTGATGAAATTCCACATTCTTTCCATAAAATTCTTCACTATATTCATACTGAGATCCCCTCCCAGCACATACATGATCAAGGAATTTTCCCAAAATTTCAGCTTTGTTTCAACATCCTCATCTTCAATAGAAATTTGAATCTCCCCGACCACAATTGATAGTGCAACATATTTCATCGACATGCCTTTAGTTGGATTGCGATTGTCGTGCAAGACATCAACCTAAAGCTTGCGTTACTCCTTCGGTTCTTGTGCATATGTTGAGTCTGTTGGTTCTAGGGTTTTACCTTTATCACCTGTTACAGACTGTTCTTTCGTACCCAATTGTGCTTCCATGTCTTGTGACTGTTGCTTTGCATTTGTTTCATCGTTGTCCTGGCTACATTCTGGCTGAGTCGTCTGAGTAATAATCTGCTTCGGCGGCGGTGACACCGTTTTCTTTGGTCGTCCCCGTCCCCGTGAGCTTCCCATGCCTCAGACAAAGAAGTTATTATTATTATTATTATTATTATTATTATTATTATTATTATTATTATTATTATTATTATTATTATTTATTATTATTATTATGCATTAAAATTATATTGTTTCAACAACTTTTAATTAGTTTGTTTCCTAAAGCAAATTGAAGTTTTGAGATTTTAAATTTACAAATAAAGAAACTTGTTTATGATAGATGCCATAAATGTAGGAGTTGTTGTTGTTGCTTACGGGAGATTAGTTAAGCTAATTATAGGATTTTCCTCTCACTTGGATTCAATTGTTAGACCATATTTGTTTATATACCGTTTATTTCAATTATTATTATTATTATTATTATTATTATTATTATTATTATTATTATTATTATTATTATTATTATTATTATTATGCATTAAAATTATATTGTTTCAACAACTTTTAAATAGTTTGTTTCCTAAAGCAAATTGAAGTTTTGTGATTTTAAATTTACAAGTAAAGAAACTCGTTGACGATAAATATCATAAATGTAGGAGTTGTTGTTGTTGCTTACGGGAAATTAGTTAAGCTAATTATAGAATTTTCTTGTGACTATTTATTGTTATTGAGTCAATATTGTTCGGTTGGTTAATAAAAGTAAAAATGTGGAAATAGTCAAAATATTCATTTTTAGTGAATATTGTATTCTAATGCAACTAACCAATATATCTGGTGCCTAATATGCTATTATGTGTCTTTAATGTCATTGATTGAACAATGTATTTGTTGCTTTGATCACTTAATAATATTGAATTTTTACACTGTGTAATATATCAATTAAAATAGAAATTGATTTGATTATAATATAATGATTTAGCAATACAATATTTTGAGATACTTGGTAATAGTCATTTTTATTGAAGTTGACATTGTTTAAAGACAAATTTATTGGGAATGCTATATTGTTTAAGTTCATGACATGTTCATGATTTTTTTTGGTAAGAGAAATTTGATTCCTATGCAAGAATTTCTATAAATAATTGTGTGTGATTACCACCAAAGTGAGATCATTCATTTTAATTTATAAAAGTATCTTTGTAGTTTGAGAATTGATTTTAAGTCATTACTATGATTATCTTCCCAAATATGGATAATTGTATGTAGAGATTGTGGTTGATTAAGGATATAGTTATTGGAGATGCTTGAGTCCAAGAGGTTTATTTACCCAAAGGAGATAAATTTCTAAACTCAATGTATGCTCACTGAGTAGCTTATTCTTGAAATTTGTAGATGAAGTTGTTGGAGGTGTTTTGGTTTAGAGAATTTATCTACCAAAGGAGATAGGTTTTCGAACCCAATGTATGCTCATTGAGTAACTCATTTGAGGTTTTGACCTTGGTTGTAACCTATGTTTTGCACATTCCACCCAAAGGGGATTGTGTGATAATGTTGGCATCTTCGTGATAGCTTATGCTCATTAAAGTTATATCCTACCTTTATTATTTGTTCTTATGCATCCCTATTTTGTCTCAACAGTGACCTTCTCTATGAACAATTGTTCTACTTCTATTGAGATCCTGAATGGGTCTAATTTTAAGAAGTGGGAGAAAGACTTAGAGTTTTCATTAGAGATTGCTGACCATGACATGACATTGCGTGTAACCAAACATGTGATCAATGATCAGAGTACATTTGAAGAGAAATAAAAATTATCTAAGTGGGAGAGGAGTGACCGACTTAGCTTGTGTGCTATGAAGAGGATAATTTATGAACATCTAATAAGTGGATTGCTTGAGAAAGAGAATGCTAAAGAATATCTTACTGCTATTGGAGAGAGGTTTCAAGTATCTGATAATGCTGAATCAGGATGTCTAATGAAACAACTCACGGACATGAAATATGATAACAATGGGGGTGCCAGGGAGTTCATTCTTAAGATGGTTCATGTCCAAACCAAACTGAAATCCCATGACATTGACCTGAATGAGAATTTTATTGTGTCTCGTGCCTTAAACTGCTTACCTGCTGAGTTCACTCAAATCAAAACTGCATATAATACATTTGGTGATAGGTGGACTATAAATAACCTCATTACCAAGTGTGTAGCTGAAGAAGAGAAACTGAAGAAGAAAAGAAGTGATCTAGCCCTTCTAACTTTACATGCTAAACTCCATTCTGGTAAGAACTCTTGGAAAAATAAGAAAAATACTCATAATGCTTCTCATAGATATCCTAATAGGAAAACTGGTAATGGTCAACACCATAATATAGGAGGTCCCAAGCCTGTTTCTTTTAAGAAGCCCCTTTGGTGCTTTTGGTGTAAGGAAAAGGGGCATAAGAAAACTGATTGTCGTGCTTTTAAAGTTTAGTTAGACAATAAGAACAAATCTGGAAGGGTTCAGAAACCAACTGAGACCAAACTTGAGGGAAAGCAAACTCAGGGTAGAAAATGATCTCGAAGTCATTGTGGAGCTAGTGGGAGATGTTATTTTAGTTTTAGGAATTGGTTTTGAACTTGTTTTGAAAGATACATTTTATGTGCCTTCTTTTAGGAGGAATTTGATTTCAGTATCTTGTTTGGATAAATTTGGATTTCAATTTACCATTTATGATGGCAAAATAAATTTGATGTTGAATTCTCAAGTTGTTGGTAATGTTATCTTGTTGGATGGTTTATATAAGTTATCTTTGGATTGCGATATGATTTCCTCATCCTTGAATGTTGAAAGCTCCATTGCTAAAAGGTCTAAAACTAGAGAAAAATCTTCTTTGTTATGGCACAAGCGTTTAGGACATATCTCTAAAGAAAGAGTTAAAAGGTTAATTAGAGATGATATTTTACATTCCTTAGATTTCAATAATTTAAGGATTTGTATGGATTGCATTAGAGGAAAATTTACTAAGACCAATAAGAAAGGTTCAACTAGAAGTTCAGACCTTTTAGAAATTATTCATACAGACATTAGAGGACCCCTTTCTTCCACTATTTGTGGTAATAAATCTTTTATCACTTTTATTGATAATTTTTCCCGGTATGGCTATATCTACTTGATTAAGGAAAAATCAGAAGTACTTGAAAAGTTTAAAATCTTTAAAATTGAAGTTGAAAAGCAACTAGGAAATATGATAAAAGTGGTGTGTTTTGACTATGGTAGAGAGTATTATGGTAGATATGATTCTAGCATATAATGAATTGAAATTGCATCAGATGGATGTTAAGACTGCTTTTCTAAATGGTGATCTTAATGAGGAGGTGTACATGCAGCAGGTTGATGGTTTTGTGTCATGTGGTAATGAGCATTTGGTTTGTAAATTGAGAAAATCTATTTATGATTTGAAACAGGCTTCTAGATAATGGCAGTTGAAATTTAATGATGTGGTGCCTTCATTGGGTTTTGAAGAAAACAAAGTTGATTAGTGCATCTATCTTAAGGTCAGTAGAAGCAAATTCATCTTTCTCGTGTTGTATGTTGATGATATTTTGCTTTCCAGTAGTGATCTTGGTTTGCTTCATAAGACCAAACTTATTCAAACCAATTTCTTCTATATGAAGGATCTTGGTGAAACCTCCTTTGTGTTGGGAATTGAAATGCACAAAGATAGATCACGTGGTTTGTCACAGAGGGCTTATATTGATAGAGTTCTGGAGAGGTTCAATATGCAGAACTGTAAGCCAGGAGATGTTACAATTACTAAAGGAGACAAATTCAGTAAAGATCAATGTGCTAAAAATGAGATCGAGCTGGAAGAAATGAAGGGAAAACCCTTTGATAGTGCATTGGGCAGCCTGATGTATACTCAAGTATGCACTAAACCTGACATTGCTTTCATAGTTGGCGTCTTTGGACGATACAGTCTAATCATGGGAATGATCATTGGATTGTTGTTAATAAAGTGATGAGATATTTGCAGAGAACTGAAGAGTATATGCTTGTTTTTAGGAGAGTTGACAACTTGGAAATAGTTAGGTATACTGACTATGATCTTGCTAGATGTGTTGATGATAAGAAATCTACCTCTGGTTACATTTTTATGTTGGCTGGAGGTGCGATATCATGGAAGAGTAAAAAGAAAACTCTTGTCGCCTCTTCTACTATGTAGGCAGAGTTTTTTGGTTGTTATGATGTTGCTCATGTTGTTTGGTTAAGAAATTTAGTGAGTGGACTTTGTATTGTTGATTCCATTGTAAAGCCACTAAAGCTTTATGGTGATAACAATGTAATTATGTTCAACTCTAAGAATAATAAAACTTCTAGCAGTTCTAAGCATTTAGAATTGAAGTATTTGACAGTCAGAGACCTTTCAAAGAAAAATGACATTGTTGTTGAGTACATTTATACTGATTTCGTGCTAGCTAATCCCCTAACTAGGGAACTTAGGCCCATTATGTTCAAAAACCATGTTGAGAGTATGAGCATTGTGAGTTATTTTGATGTACTAAGTTAATGGGAGTTTGTTCTTTATGCCATTTTCTTATCATGATGTATTTTATTTTAGACACTTTAAGTGTTGGATTTTTAAGTACTTTCAACTTTAAGCAATTGATATTACAATGAATATTATTATTATTATTATTTGTCATTGTTTGTTTATAAGTCAATTGTTAAAATTAGGACTCGGTGTCATTGGGACCACAATGCCTATGATCGACACTAGTTTGGAGTTCGAGGTATGGTTATAATTTTGAGCTCGGCATCTTCGGGACCACTATATCAGTGGTCGATGCCATATTGGAGTTGGGTATGATTTTAAGTTCGGCGTTATCTTGACCACTGTGTCAGTGATCGACGCCATATTGAAGTTGAGGCATTATGGTTTGTAAAACCATGCAATTTCTTTGACTTTAATGCATTTGAGAGAAACTGTTAAGGACTGACAATGAAAATAGCAGTTGCCTGTTGGATTACATTAGCATGTTATTTTCTTGTCACACTCCACACTGATGACTAGTTGACAGAGTCCGTAGTATTTGTAACCATGGAAGATTTTATGTCAATGAAAGATATAATAATCATCGTGATTCAATGCTGTTT